ACGGCCTCGCTCTTGCTCACGCCGTCGAGCAGGAGCTCCCGCAGGCGACGCTCCTCGGCATCGGCATCCGCTTGGCCGGGGGTGGGGGACCCTGGCACAACAGTGGGTGGCTCGGCTGCAGGCTCGATCTTGATCTCGATTTTGGGCGGGGGTGGGCTGGGGCTCTCCTGATTCAGATCAAGACCGCTACTTGCATCCAATACATCAGCCGATTCGCCCGCTCTAGCTTCCTCTCGAGGTTTGGCCACCTCGGGCTCTTCACCAGCCTCATTTAGGTCCAAATCTATCGCATTACACGACGCGTTCCCGCCATCCTCTTGCATCCTCCTCGGCTTTGATTTGCGTGATTGATTTTTTTGTTTTTTTTTTGTTCATTTTTTGCGTTCCCTCTTTTTTTCAACTCCGAACAAATAACTGATTTTGATGCACCAACACACGTGCACACTATTGCCTGCCGGAGCTGTAAGTTTGTGCACTGTTCATCTGGTGTTCTTCTGCAGCAGCCCTTAGGTCATGCGTAGGTCGATCCAGTAGGCCGGTTGGATGTAGTCCGGCTTCCAGCCACCGCACACGAGTATGCCCTCGCCCTCGATGAGTGTGGCCGAGTGGCCACTGCGCACAGACGGCAGCATTGGACCAACCGCACGCGCCGACACCTGGTGCCAGCTCATGTCGTCTGCATATATGAAACAGCAGCAAACTTCAATCATCGAGGAGCTCTCCTTCTTCTTCATCATCATCATCATCATCAACGCAGTGCCGTACCTGTGTGAAGAACGGCGATTTCTTTGTAGATGGCGTTGTCGGACTCCTTGTAGCCGCCGAGGAGCACCAACTGCTTGTCGTCGACTGCCGTCATCGTGTGTCGGCACCTTGGGCCGGGCACCTTGCCCTTGAATCGCGGCTGCGACCATGTCTGTGTGTCTGATGTGGTGCGTGTGTGCGTGTGCGGTTGTGAGGCACACTCGCTTACAAACACATACACAAGGTAGCGTGTGTCAGGGGTACCAATGTTGAGAAGAAAGGCGTCGCCAAGGGGCATCTTTCCGCCATTGTAACCGCCAAAGAGGAAGTAGCGGCCGTTGGTGTTGGACAGTTGCGTCATCGTGTGCCATCTGCGGAAGGACGGCGCCGTCCCCTTGAACTTGGGCGCTGCCCATTTCAGCGTTTCTGTTAAGAAACATGCCCAACGTTGTCAATACTTCAACCGACAGAACATGATGACTCTCGCTTTGAACGTACTGAGGTCGAGGTAGATCAAATCGGCCAGGCCGCCACTGTCGTTCCATCCTGTGATGATGGCAGTGGACAGCAGATCGGTCTGAGTACAGGGCGGAGCGTAGGGTCCCGGGGGGTGGCAAAGGGAGGCCTACCTCCGTGCACGAAGTAACGGTCGTCGTGAAGGAAGTTGCAATGCCATCGCCGCTCCAGGTTGGGAAGCACCGACTTGTACTCCATCGTCCGCGTAGAGAAGCCATCTGATTGCCATGGCGAGCAATGGTGAGTTTGTGCGTGCGTGTGTGCGCGTGCGTGGTTGCGGGAGGTACCAG